TTCAGCCACATGGCCTTTCTGGCTGTTCCTCAAGCAAGCATGAAGGTGGACCCACTGTGACAAGGTCACCTGGGTAGCCAACCACATATACACTCACCTTGAAGAGCAGCTAATGTTTAAATATCCTACTCAGCAGAAGTGAAGCACCATCATGTCATCTGGTAACTTTGGAGGTCTTTCTTGGTTAACTGCTGGTGACCCAGGTCTCCTCATTGCTCTGCCTAAACAACTGATTTTCTAAACGTGAAGGCAGAACTTGACACTTATGCTCATTGCATTTCATCATTCTTTTCAACTGTGTTTCCAGCCTATCATGGTCTTTGGGATCTTAATTCTGGGCCTGTGGAGAGGTTTTCCTTGCAGACATGCTTCACAGGCCAATTTCCTAACGTGCCTTCTAAGTCTCCATGCGAATCCCCCACTGAGACTCGGAGCAGAACAGGCAGAGCACAGTCCTGCGTCCTGTGTCTGGATCTCTCCAGACTGAGGCTGATTCCCGTGAACGCTCTTCAGGAACAGCTTTCAAGTGAGCTACCTCTCCCACCATGTAGCAGGTGAATATCTGCATTGCTTGTCTTGTTGACATTACCCAAGTGCACATCTGGCTCAGCTCAGGGTACCATGGTGGGGCTGTCATGCCTGCACGGAAATAGGGGCATGCCTGCCTTTAAAGAGCTCCCACCCCTGCTGGGGAGTGAAAGTGAGCACTTGTGAGAAAACACTCAGAAATATGAGGCCAAATATGGTCAATGCCAAGGAATGACACAGATCTCTTCAGTAAACATGTGAATGGACCACTAAGCAATTATTCACTCAATAAACCTTTATAATAGCCGAGCAACAACAGAGACGGCCCTTGTGAGCCTACCTCATGACTGGTCTGTGCACTCTGTTATTGTCTTGAAGCCTCAAAACTATCCCCATGAGGTCCATGTTATTGTCCTTGTATGAGAGAGGAAATAGGCTCAGAAAGGATAAGAAATGTGCCAAAGGTCACACATCTAGTACATGGTGTTGAGCCCAGGGGGGTCTACCTCTGAAACCCATGATGCTCTGAGCTGCCCCGAGGCCCATTCATGGTTCTGTCACTGGGGTTGCCACGGCCCATGAGAAATAGGCCTTGCTCTTAGGGGATGATCTGAAATCCATATGAAGGGCAGACGCCAAGCCTGCCATCTTGGAGGTCTGTGGAACAGGATGATGGGTCTGGCTTGGCAGAACTTCCGGCTGGGTCTACTCTCGCCACAGGGTGGAATCCCAAAGCCAGACCCAGGCGTGCCAGGACATGAGAAGGGCAGAGTGCCTTTCATTTACCCCACGGTGGGCAGCACTGAGCCCCCACACATGGAGGAGGAGGGCTCCCTTGCCCCCTGGAGACACAGAAGGAAGGGCACAACACCGTCATGGGTTTGGGTTTACTCTCCCAGAGCCACAGCAACGCCGACTCTTCTCTGTCCCGGGTGGACACCAGCGAGGCCGCCCTGCCCAGCAGTCACCAGACAGAGAGGCGGGGTCAGCAACATGTGCCATGGGCCCAGTGTGGGGACGGCTGCTGCATGCCGATTGTTCACAAAACCAACCGGGAGAAAAGAACAAGGAGGCAGGTTGAAGACCCAGGGCCAGCGGCCGGGGAAGCCGAGAGGGGAGCTGGAAAGGTGGGGAGGTCCGAGGCAGGGAAGGAAGGCATGCGGGAGGTAACGGCGAGGACTTGAGGGTGAAGGAGCCTGTGGCAGAGTCAGTGACTGAGAGCAGCCGGCCCAGGTCGCCGACGGGGGTACCGGGGCATCCAGGCCCCTGGGCACTATGGGGAGCATGGATGAGAGGGTTATTTCTGCAGGACACCAGGAGTATAGATATTTCCGGAGACCGGGTCCCCCTTCTCAGCAGACGGGCCGCCAGTAGCTCCAGGCCAGGCCAGCTCCATCCTGGCTTTACACCATCTCTCCCACCAGGCCTGCTCGGCAAGACTGGGGTGAAGAGACAGCCCTACTTAGGAGAGGACTGTAGAATCTGCGGAGCCAAAGTGCTTGTTCACTTCTTACAGAACCTCCCGGGTCAGGCACGGGGCAGGAACTGCCTCAGTGGGAAGCTCGGGTTCAAACTCCGCAGAAGACCCGAGCTCCAAGCCCTGGTCTCTCAAAGGCCTGCTCCACCTCCTGGGGGGAAGACAGCCCGAACTCTGCAACCCCCGGAATCCACCCCTACGGCTACAAGGGGGCCAGAGCCACTCAAGAACCTCAAAAAGGAACTGACAGAGAAACAGTGAAACGGTCCCGGGAAATACCCGTTTGGGGCTTCTTGTCTTCAGTGGTTGCTGAGTGAGAAGCCAGGAGTCCGTTTCAGAGCGGGTCAGGGGTGCTGTGGCAGGGCCGTGGTGTGGGGCCAGCACTACACGGGCCACGGCCCTGCCCAGGAAGGAGTGGGTCCAGAGGAGCAAGGCCCCTGCCCACGGCTGCTTCTGGCCCTGCTCTGCCATTGCCCCCGGGAGGAGAGCAGAGCACCCCTGAGCCTCGGGGCCCTCAGGGCGTCCTCTCTGAGGAAACACACAAAGGGGTAAGGAAGCCATGTTCAGAGCAGAGGCGGGACTGTCACTGAGGTATAGGGCATGGAGGGCTTCTGGGCCAGAAGGAGGAAGGAGCCTGCCTAGATGTCCTCGAGGGAGAAGTGTTTGAAAGCATGTCTCTGGTGGCTGAGCACTCAGGCCCCGGGAAGGCACAGACAGGCCCATTTGCCCTTTGAGCGTGTCTGTGCAACTGAGGAGAGCCCTCAGAGAGCCCAGCTGACTGGTTTCCCAGCCCTGAGCCCAAGCCCTCAGCCTCCCTGACGATGCCTGAGCCCTTCTGGAGGGCGGGTAGCTGATGGGTCTGACCTGGCCGTCCCCAAGGGGTGCCCGTGTGACCTGCCTTGGCGTTCCTTTCATCTTAGCTTCTTAAACTGCACTTCCAAGTGCACAAATGTTAACTGCACACCATTTTACAGCTGCACACAACTGTGTAAGCACTCCCAAGATTAAGATACCAAACACCTCGGCCTCCCAGAGTCCTCCCTCTTGCTGCTTCCCGTCAATCTCCCTGCAGAGGCCCTGTGCTCTGCTTTCTGTCACCCTGGAGTAGTTCTGCCTGCCTTTGAACTTCCTAAAAGCGAAAATCGTACATACTCTTTTGTGTATGGCTTCTTTCAAAAGATTTGTCTGTGAGATTCAGCTATGCTTTTAAATGTGGCAATCTTTTGCTCGTTTTCTCTGCTGGATAGTATTCCACTGTATGGACATACCATCCTTTATCCATTCCACCGCTGATGCAGTGTTTCTAGTTTGGGGCCATCATAAGAAAGTTTCTGTGAGCATTTCTGCATATGTGTTTGAGTATCCTCGTATGTCTGCCTGGGAAAAACAAGTTCCCCTGGCTACAAATGTCTGGGAAGGCAGATTTTTCACTTCTAGACTGCATGGTAAGTGTTACTCATGCATCAGGTTCTTCGATCTTAAGCAGCAGGATGAAGAACACACCCCTGGAAATTGGAACAAATGCACAAGTGGAAGCTTACAAGGTGTTTGGGGAATGTTGACTCCTACAAGGTGCTAGAGAGGGGTGTGGGTGTGTGTGTGAGCTTTGTGTGTGAGAGTGTATGTCAGTGTGTGTATGAGTCCATACAGATTTGCATGTGTGACTCTGTGTGAGCTCTATGTGTGTGTATGTGTGTGGACTTAAGAGTTATTGTGTGAGAGGGTCTCAGAATCTCCTGGGCAGTTTATCCAGAATTACTGTGAGAGAACCACTGGCCTGGAGCATTTAGGGAAAGGAGAGGAAATGACCAGAGATGAGACTAGAAAAACAGATGAGGGTCAAACTACAAAGAGTGGTGAATGTCTTACTATGGCATTTGGATTTTATCCTGCGGTGATAGGAATCACCAGATGTGTTTAACAAATACCTAGTGGCACCACACACCACGTGGAAGGTGTGGCAAAGCCAGCTGTGTCACCTATCAGCACGTGGAGCCCCACACCAGGCTGAGTGAAGTACAGTCTGCTAGTGGGGGGTACTGGAGGGCAGGGCAGTGAAGGGCTAAGTCTATAGCAAACAGCCTGTGTTTATGTTCCGGCTCTGCCATTTATCAGCCAGGGGACCTTTCCGTGCCTCTATTTGTTCATCTCTAAGGTGGGGACATTCCTGGCTTTCTTATGTCAGCATTGTTGAGAAAATTAAATGAGCAAGTACTTGAAAGTGTTGGCACATAGTGAGCATGCAGTAAGCATTAGCTGAAACGATCCGTATGGATAAATGCAGGGATTAATAGATGAAGCGTGTGTTGGCTCATAGGTGTACACATGGGACTTGCACTGACAAATGGCACACGCACACACAGTGGGCAAACAGTCCTGCACACACACAAACAGCCCACAGCGAACAGGGGTTTACAGGTCAAACATTCAAAGATGCTCCCAGCTCAGCCACTGCCCATAACTTACTCACTGGAAACCGAGTGCTCCTTAGTTACAGAAAGGAGACAGGAAATGACTAGATCCCTAATCATCCTTGCTTTAGAGACTTGCAGTTGGATGAGTTGCCCGGTTACCAAAGTCCTAGGAGGACTGCAAAAGGCCCACTAGAGTCAGCGTCCTTCAGCTCTGTTTGCAGGGACACGGGGAACGCTGCCTTCTCTGGGGCTGGGGAGACAAGAGCAGCGGTACCTAGGACAGTCTGGGGAAAGTGGGCGCCAGCACAGGATTTCCACGAGAAGTGAGGAAAACCCGCCATCTGAGCCCTCCTTCACTGTCCATACAGTAAGGCGGTCTGCAGCCAGGCCTGGGACAGACAATTTGAGGAGCTGCGACAATTCTCACAGCACAGCAGTCTGAACAAAAACCCAACACAGTCCCTATCTTCCCCTCTTGGAAAAGGGGCTCTCAGGCCAGGAGCCCAGCCCTGCCCCCTGCCCCACCTGGTGAAACAGTCAGCAGGGTGGGAGAGGAAGCATGTCTGACAGCGTGATCTTACCTCCACATATAGCAAGGGGAAAATCCCAATCTTGTCTCCCAGCATGCCTTCTGCCCAGTTGTCATCCACTCTTCTGATGACGGTCAGGATCTCGTCCTGGGGTTGCCGCAGCCCATCATGTACACAGGCACGTGGACATGCAACAAAACACACAACAAAAACAGAGACCAATCAGTACTGCAGGGGCTAAGAAAAGATCCTAAGCAATGATGCAGAGAATGGTTTATTATCCATTTGGGGATCTGATATACAAAAACAACCCACCCTTACATCTTCACCTACGGTCTCCCTCTTTCTCTCCTATATATTGATCATAGCTGCAAAAATCCTCAAATAGAAAAGTGTGGTAATTTACAATATGGCTAGTACTTTAAAATTCATGTTCCTATTATTTATTTACTGAAATAAAATTATTTTGAATAAAAATAAACTCAGCACGTATAAAGCTTTTGAGGTTTCTGGCTCCATCCACGAACAAAAAATGACCCAATCCAATTCCATTTATTTAGAGTTGTGGGTACAAAAAGCTTTGGATAACCCTCTTAAATTCTTTGGCAATACAGACAATGCCAAGTATAGATGCACAAAGTGGAAACAGATGGAAGGAGAAAGGAAGAGGCATGAAGCACGGAGGAAGAGAAGCTTTCCGGGGAGACTGGCAGCCTGGCAGTTGTGAGAAAGGAAATGCCCGGGATGCCTTCTCGGGTGCCAGGAGTGCAGGGACACATGACAGAGTGTGCAGAGAGGAGGGTGGGAGAGAGAAAGCACTAAGCAGGGATGGAGAGTAAAAGGGGGAACCCGCCAGGGAAGGGGACTGGGGAAGAGAGACAACACAGGCAGCATCAAGTGTCCAGAGGGCCAGACAGGGATGCCACAGGCAAAATGGCACCTACACCAGGGCTCTGTGGCAGGCCTCTGTTCCCTCTCCAATATCCATCCTCCTCTCGGTGTGCAGGGTGTATAATGGAACCCCCGCATGGACTGTCTGCCAAACCACTGCCACCCCTGCCCCACCAGATCAAAACCTCCCTGTCACTTGTCCCTCAACAATCTGCTAGGGAACCACCTAGCCCATCTGGGACTTGTGCTAAGGAGATGATGGCCAGCCTAATGGGGTAACCCCTACTGGATTTGAAGGTACCATCTGAGTCTTCAATACTTTAGTGTGAAGCAATGAGTTTTCCAATGAGGAGCCAAGTCCTCCAATGAGTCTTCAATACTTTAATGTGAAGCAATAATATGGGACTTGTAGGCCTCTCTAAGGTCAGAGGCACATTTTAGGCCAGCACATTTCATGAAATTATCAGAAAAGCTGGCTTCCCTGTGAGCTAAGGGACCACACAGTTTTGGGGTGTTTGTCTGGATCAAGATAGAGTCATCTAATGGGAATGGGATATGCCTTTCAGAGAACAGAGATAGGGAAAAGCAAGGATGAGTGTCTGCCAGGGGAAGCTCCCCATGGTCTATTCCAAACCTCTCTTCACCTAGGGGGACAGATTAAAGTCTAGGAGCAATCAGATCCCCTCATCCCCAACCTCCCAACTTTAAAAGATTCCAAATAACAAAATGATCTGTGATTTTAGAATATTTCTTCTCTCAATTGATACAAGCCAGAAAAATACAATAGACACTACAAGTGAATCATATCATTTCAGAAGTTACAGGGCAGTCGGTTCTCAGGCTACAGAATGATATTTGTAAGGGTTCCCTATTCTAACTCAGCCATTAGAATGTATGGGCTTTTCTGGTAATCATTGGGCAAAGTGGCCAACTGGCTTGAGGAGAGATGTACAGAAAATGCCCCTGAACTCTCATGCCTTGCTCACCTCACAAGTTTACAACTTGTAAGAGTCCTGGGCCTGTGAATGAACTCAACTCAGATTCAGCCAGAGGGAGCCACCTAGGACTTTGCTGATCATGCAAAGGGAAAGGTAACTGAAGGCTTCCTACATGTCAGAGTTTTTGCAACAATAAAATAGCACACACAAAAAAAGACATTTAATTTTGTAAAATTCAAAAGAAGAAAATACCAGGTTAATTTTGGTTAAAAAATAGAAAATACCATATTATTCACACCATTACTTAGGACTGGTCTAGAAATTAGAGCCAAAGAAATAAAAGAATATAAAACAGAAAGCATTAATATTGGAAAGAAGGTATAAAATTTTTTTACCTAGAAAAAACAGTATCAACTAAAAATTAGAATAAATTTGAGAAATACTGCAAATTTTAAAATACATACATAAAAATCATTAGTTTACTCATATACCAGCAATAATAAGGCAGAAAATGTGATTAAAATTGGCTATTAAAAAAAGTTCTCTAATACACGGTATATGCCAAAATTAATTACATAAATATTAAAAATTTAAATGTTAGGAAAAAACCTTGAATGCCCAAGAAGAAAATATGAATAGATGTTTAATTTTGAGCTGGGGAAGGTCTTTTGAAGTATGATAACAATGATTTGGCTACACAAAAATGTAATTCTCTATGACAAAAATAGCAAAAAACAAAACAAAAAGGCAAAAACCTAGGAAAATACTTGGAGGATATATGAGAGACAAAGATTTAATATCCATACTATATAAAGACTTAAAGATACAATAGAAGAAAAAGACAAATACCTTAAAAAGAAAAATAGGCTAAGGGCAAAAATGAGACAATTCACAAAAAGGAAGAAAAGCAAATTGCCATTCAACATATTTTTAAAAGTTATAACTCACAAATAAAAAGAATACAATTGTAAGCAAGAAGAGTCCGCTTTTTCTTCTATGTTCTATTTTGCCTATCAAATTAGCAAAGAAGAACATAAAGCCAACTCAGTTTTGGTCAGCATGCAGGGAATAGGCACGTCATCATTTTTGGTGGAGATAGAAATTTATAGCAGGCAGTTTGTCAATTTCTATCAAAGATCAAAGCCTGCATACCCACTGATCTAACAACAGCCCTTCTAGAGACTCTACACTAGGAAAATCAAAGATGTGCAAAAAGATTTAGCTCTGAGAATGTTCATTACAGTGTTGTTCAATTAGATAGAAATTAAAGACAAATGCACAGCAAAAGAGATTTGGTTAACTAAATTATGGTACTGTCCACCAATACTATTCCCAACTCCAGCCCTAGCCATCCTGTAACTACCTAAGGAGGAAAGGGGAAAATGGAGACACACGTGTGGACTTCACAATCTAGTGGTACAGGCTCCTTAAAAGACTGAGGCCCAGTAATTGGACCATAGGACTATGCAGTGCTCCCCCTCTCCCCAGACACCACCACCACATTACTAAAGACCAATCTACGGCAGTTCTTTTTACCTGGTACATCATGTCTGTCTATCAAAAAAGAAAAACAAAAACAAAAACAAAAAACAACTATTAGACATAGTAAAAGGCAAAACAAAACAAAAACCAAAAATACAGTTTGAAGAGATAGAGTAAGCATCAGAACCAGACTCAGATACAGCAGGGATATTGGAACTATCAGATGGGGAATTCTAAAACAAGTATTAATCATACTTGGGCTCTGATGGATTAAGTGGACAGCATGCGAGAACAGATGCGCAATGTAAGTAGAGAGATAGAAAGTCTGAGAAAGAACCAAAAAGTCATGTTAGAGATCAAAAACACCATCACAGAAATGAAAAATCTTTAGACAGGCAAATTAGTACTCTGAACATGGCCAAGGAAAGAATCTTTGACCTTAAAAGTCATCTCAATAGAAACCTCCAAAACTGAGAGGCAAAGAGAAAAAAGACAGGGGGGAAAAAAAGAACAGGATATTCATGGACTGTGAGACAACTACAAAAAGTATAACGTATATACAATGGGGGTGTCAGAAGGGGAAGGAGGGGAGGAGGGGAGGAGGAGGGGAGGAGGGGAGGAAATATTTGACACAATAACGACTGAGAATTTCTCCAAATTAATGTCAGACACCAAACCATAGATCCAGGAAGTTCAGAGAACACCAACTACGATGAATGCCAAAAAAACCTAACAAAGTACTGAAAATCAAAGATAAAAAAAATACTGAAAGAGGCCACAGGGGAAAAATATCATATTTATAGATGATCAAAAATAAGAACCACACCTTACTTCTCTAAAACCATGCAAACAAGAAGAGAGTAGAGTGAAATATACAAAGTGTTGAGAGAAGAAAACCCACCAGCCTAGAATTATGTACACTGAGAAATTATCCTTCGATAGTGAGGGAGAAATAAGGACTTTCTCAGACAAATAAAAATTAAGAGAGTTTGTTGCCAGTAGACCTGCCTTGTAAGAAATACTAAAAGAAGTTCTTTAGAGAAGAAAAGTATGTAGGTCAAAAACTTGAATCTACATAAAGAAAAGAACATTGGAGAAGGAATAAGTGAAGATAAAATAAAACTTTTATTGTTCTTATTCTTTGTTCAAAATTAAAGTAGCAACAATGTATTTGATTATATATGCTATGTACATATATTATATATCATGTATATACTTATGTATAAGTGAAATGAATGACAGAATGATATAAGGGACTGAAGAAAAGAGTTAGGATTATTTTATTACTATAAAGTATTTGTACTACCTGTGAAATAGTACAGTGTTTTTTGAAATGAACATTATTAATTGCAAATGTATATTGCAAACCCTAGGGCAACTATTAAAAAAATTTTTTTAAGGTACAACTGGTATGTTAAGAAAGGAGAGAAAATAGAATCACATAAATTGTTCAATTAAAACCACAGAAAGAAAAAGAGAGAGAGAGAGAAGAAAACAAAAATAGGAATGAAAATCAAGGGCAACAAATAGAAAACAGAAATAAATATGGTAAATATTAATTAAAAATATCAAATAATCACTCTGAATGTCAATGGTCTATATTCACAAATTGAAAGACAAAGATTGTCATAGTGGATCAAAAAGTAAGACCCAACTATGTTGTCTACAATAAACCCCCTTGATTTTTTTTTTATTATGTTCAATTAGCCAACTTTTTGATGTAGTGTTCAATGATTCATTAGTTGCGTATAATACCCAGTGCTCATCACCACACGTGCCCTCCTTAATACCCATCACCCGGTTACCCCATCCCCCCACCCCTCTCCCTTCTGTAAC